CAGCCCCGCCCTGCCCTGCCCTGGGGTAATTACCCCGCTCCGGAACCAAAAACGTACCTGCAGTAGCATTCCAAGCATAGCATCCTGCTGAACCTGGCCCTCCAGTACGTATTGTAACTGCCGGTCCGTGCGAACTTTGAACAAGGCACGTGCAGTGGCTGTGGCGTACGCCAGCATGGGTCTGCGACACGCCGTACAGGACGACGCACGAGCGCGCCGTGTGGCACAGGTAAACCCTTCGTCACGAAACTTACTTACTACTTTGCACTAATAAATAATGGTGTGCTGATGGTGTACTGCGCCAATCAATCTAACATACATACGAGATGATGATGGCATGTAATGGTTTCGTTCGGGATTTGAGACTCGACCCTTCAAATTTGAAAAATGGAACTGTATTCGAGAAATCACGGGAAAACGGTCCGTTAGTGTGCGGGTGCAGGCATGGGGCGTGCGATGAGGGGAGGGGTATACTTGCTCATGTTATCGCTGTTACGCCCCTCCTTCCACAGCGAGACGGCGTCAGCCAGCAAAACCCGCACGGTTGTTCTGACTGATGCGAATTCCCATGACTGCTAGGGAGTGGAGGATCGTTACGAGCGTCCCTCCAGTCGTACGTAATCGTTGTTCAAGTCACCATTCCCCGACGCACAACATAGTCGTACAGTCGCCATCGCCCACTCAACAGTTCATCCTCCTGCCACATAAACCGTGGCGGTAGCGCCTCGCGAGCCCACACCATGCGCGGGGTCCGCGGGGGCTCATCGCGCCATCCACCCCGCAAGTCTCAGCACCCACATGGCGCCACCACACCCCTTAGGCCGTTACCTGGCCCCAGACGCCTGCATCATGTACAGCCGCAACCGAAGGTAGTTGGGCAACCGCTCCACGGCGGCCAGCTGCGAGAAAGCCAAGGGATCCCTGCTGCCCTTGAGTGCCGCCACCAGCTCCGGAGCCGCTGCTACGGCGTCGCCCACTGCCGGGTCCACGTCCAGCAGCAGCGCCGGCGGCACGTTGCTGATATCCTCCTCGCAAACTGCCTGAGCGGTCGGCGTGACGGCCGGAATGGGAGCCCAGGTAAGGCGCAGGTAAGGCACATGAAGCTGGCTATTGCTGGCTATTGAATGTAGAGCGCACACGTGCGCACGCACGTGAAGTGAAAAGTGTACGCACATGCAGCGAGCGCAATGCCATATTTCACACAAAATCTGTCATGCAGGTTTGTGTTTCTGTCTGTCTGTCTGTCCATCTGTCTGTCTGTATGTTGTTACAGGGTGGTTAAGCTTCACCAGCGGCCCCCTTTCCCGAGTCTGTATATATGATGTGTGAAACAGGGGGGTGTATCTTCGCCCGTGGCAGCTACCCTGCGAAACCCTGCCTTCCCCGGTATTTCGGGGCACCCTCATCCAGTCACCCTAGTCAACTTCTCAGTGGATCGCTCAGGTTCCGCACCCACCACCAGCATCCAACGGAATCTGCCGGGTCGACAGCGGCCCAACTCCATTCCTGGTCGGCTCGCAGGTTAACTTTATTCCAGGTCACCACCGTCCATCAACTAGGGGCGCAATGCCTTCCACCATCGGAAGGACTTTGACCCTAACGGGTATCGATCCCGGAATCTCCCGGGGGCAATGGTCGCGCCTTACCAGTGGTGCCAAACCCTATGTATATATGTATGTTCCTGGGGACGATAGGGCGCTTTGACCCAAATTGGATTCAACCTTTCTTTGTTGGCATTTGATTCGATTCGATCAGATCAGCAGGCAACCAGAGCGGAGTAATTTAAGCTCCGGGCCATGGCACCATTGAAACATCCACCCGCCCCCCAACACCCGCGTTCCCATCCGCATTCACAGCGCCGTCACCCAATCATTCTCCAAATGCCTTTCCTACCTGCACTGCAACCACACCACAATCGCCACTAACCATCACCACCTGCCCCCGTCGTGGCCACCCTCACGTCCACGCCGCCCAACACACGCACCCTTATAATGACCCACATCGCTCACCTGCAGCAGTACAGCAGCAGCTGGCTTTCCGGACCTACCCAGCAACTCCACAAGCTCTTGCTTTGTGTAAGAGGTGAAGAGGTATGGGATGCTTTTGTGCTCGTCGGAGTCCGAATGGACATCCCGAATCGCATCCGTGATGGAGGGGACAAGGTCGTTGCCTGCATCACCCGCGTCCGGGCAGCAAGCGCATATAGAGGGGGGGTGGATGGGGGAGGCGTGCGTTGCCCGGCTGGCTGTTACCCTGCCCCAGATCCCAAGCAGGAGTCCCCCAGCCTTGTGATCGACAGGGGCTTCGGAACGCGACAAAACGCCGTAACGCGCAAAAAACTTGGGTGTTTGTGCAATGCCGTAGCGAGGTATGGTCATATATATGGAGAAACGACAGGATGGCAGCTGCGTTACAGAATATGCCGTCGATGGAGCGCAAAGTTACAAAGCATGTCGCGCAAGATGTCCTTGCGGCCGACGTACTGCAACATCTTGCGGTTTTCTGGGTGAAGCTTTCATAATAGGATCCCACCTCGCTTGATGGACGCTGGCACAAGCCCCGGCCTGGGCTCTTGCTCAGGTAGCCGTATCTGCCTTAAGCTTATCATCGTATTTTCAGCGTTTTGCCCCGCAGAGCCCTCCAGTTCGCGAACTCGCGCCTTCAGCCTTAAGATAAGCTGCTTAGCCTCCTCAAGGGAGGTCAACGCTGACACATCATTTTGGTCCGCCTCAACAAACCGGTCCATCTCCAATGTAGATGCCAGCAATGCATCTGCCCTGACAGCTTCTCCTGACGTTAAGACACTCCTCGCCGGAGCGGGTATCTGTTCTCGCTGCGACTCCAGCGAGGACGATGCTGCGGCCCCAGGAAGCTGTGCTTGTTCTCGTAATCCTTGAAAACACCGTGCGAGCCAGCCGACCATGTCTGCTGTCCTCGTACCGCTCCAAGGCAAGGCCAAGGAACAACTTTGTCATGCAGCGGTGAAGTGACGCATCACTACTGGTCGCAGTAAAAGCCAGCATGGCGAACGCTCTCACGCTGCATATGGCAGAAGTTTAATAACTGGCTGCGCGCATTGGTGAAGCCTTCCCCATGGGGTCGGGAAAGAAGGGGCGAAGAGATACGCGTTTTCAAGGCTGTGTAAGTTGAAGTTTTTTGCTAGCTAAATAACAAACACCCAAGCATATGCAGGGGGCCCGATGTAGGCTTAAAGGCCATGCTAGACGTACGGCGTTTCCAACAGACAACGTCCTTTGGTTGGAGCAGAAATACAATTTTCCGTGCATTTTCAATATCTCGTTGATGTAACTTTGCAAAAACCATTCAGGAAACATACTTTCGTTCCTTCTTCAGGTGGGAGCTGAGAGGTACGAGCTTGCGTCGACGTCTAGGGCGTAATTCGTCTCTGTTTAAGGCGCTTCATGAGCCTTTGGGTTCGTCAGGACCTTACAAGCTCATGAAGCTTGTAACCATTCACCCATCCATCCATCCATCCAATTTAAAGTTATCTCATGTTTCCCACTTAGTTACAACCGGACAGGATTGAGCATGTACGCTAGCTGTCGGTTACAACGACTTTGCACATGATGACCTGGTAATCCGTAATGGCCTCTAGTTATTTCCGGTAATATTTTCTGACTTCGATGCGATGCCTGCTTTCATGCGCGTCATCATGGACCATTTATACACCAACAATTGATCTCTGCCACGGGAAAACTGGTCCAATTTTGACATGTGTTTTGTCACTGTCCCGATGCGCTGGAGGCGAGTCCAAAGAGGTTCCGGCAGCCATGGGCACCTCTGCGCATACGCGCACCTCCACAGCATACCTGCATCTCTAACTTATACCTTGCCATTTCCTGCTGGATGCATCCCAAGACCGCCGGAGCATGACATCAATAGAGGTTTGTATGGAAGTAAGCTAGGGTAGGCGAAGACGGACTGCACCCCAGCAAGGAAAGATGGATGCTTACTAGTAACCGGTGGACTGATCACTACAGCCGTCCTTACTCTGTGCTTTCGATCTTGCATGACATGATGTACTTCATCGCACCGTAACCGGTCAACATTCCTGCGGAGAACTTGTGTTGATTTTTTCATCCTACATGCTGCTACATTGTATTGGTAGTCGATAGTCGCACAGCCGTGGCATGCTAGCAAGAGATTGGCCTATAACTGGCCTATGCTATAAAGCTTGCGAATTGTACGGCATGAGTTGAGCTTCGCTTTGTAGCTTTGCGTAATTCTCACTGAGTCAAATTTGCGTTGTACATAAGGTGACTTGACCTCTAGGGCATCGTGTTGCGGGGGGTCGACTTTCGGTGTCATCCCTCCAAGGCTGAAGCCAAAAGAAAATGCGAGAAAGACCTTACTATATTGCATGAATATAAACCTGGAAGAGAATGTTCGTGGCGGTATTCCACTCAGGTTCTAAGATTTCAGATTGCAGATGAACTGTGTTTCATGTAGAGCGCTTTGCAAGGCTTTTAGGGATTTAGATTAAGGATTTGGAGAGAGAGCATTGAGCGTTTGTGGAGAACAGTGAAATATGGCGGAGGGCATCGGGACGCTGTCTCGCGAAGTCCTGGAGGAGAGGTTGATGGAGGCTCGTCGGACCTACCGACTTAATATGGGGTAAGTTGGTACCAACGGATAGCCCTACACTTATACCGCCGAAGTGCATGTCGCCAATTCTTGGCGGATATGCAACGTGCTCTGTAGATATGCTGGGCTCAAGCAACTGCCTCCTGGGTTTGTGGATCTGGTGAAGAAATACAATCCACACATCACTGAGCTGGAGCTTTCCAGGTGGGGATTATGGGGTGAGCATTGCGCGCGTTTGTTGCGGACTTATGAGTCGTCCTACAGCGAGAACGTTCCGGTGGTGAACAACCTACCACCGAACAACGAGATCGCGTACCGGCATTCCAAGTCAACTTGGTTGACTTGATCCCTCCTATATGACCCAAGGGTCGCATTAGCTCTCAGTCCGAAACCTATTACCCAGTCCCCTTATGCGCCTCCACTATCAATACGGGTGAAGTCTGTTGCAGACACACCGTACCACCCTTGACAAACCATCGCTTGCCATGCCGTACCTCAAGGGAAAAAGCAATCGACGATTCTGTCCTATCCCATCCCATTCCAGCCCAAGCTCCGCCCCAACACGTCCTGGCCCCACACTCCCAAACCACCCGCCAGCCCAGTCTCCCCCTCCCACCCCCTTGCATCCGAGCCATAACCCCTGCCCCAAAATCAATACACGCAGCAATGACATCACCGACCTACCGGACGAGCTGGAGGAGTTCCGCTATCTGCGCATCCTCCGCCTCAAATACAACCAGCTCAAGCGCATTCCGGCCGTCGTCTACAGGTCTGCGCGCGAGGAAGGGACTCAAAACGTGGTGGATTTGCGATCTGGGTCAATGCGGGACTTTCGCGGCGGGTTGAGGAATAGGTGGAGTTCAAAAGTAGGTTGGGTTTAAAAACAGGTTGCTGTTGCTGCGACTTTGGAGGCGATGGCCATGGCCATGGATGCACCATGCGTGAGATGGCAGTGGACTCGCTCAGCCCCTCAGGATAACACGCTGCCCCTACGCGGCGTGCCCCTGCACACCGTCACACAGCATGTCGTTGCCGCTTTCCCCCTGCCGCCGCATTGGCTGCTGCTGGTTACCGTTTGCCGTTTGCCGTACCAACAGATTACAGCAGCTCATGGTGTTCGACGTCAGCGGTAACAAGATCTCCAAAGTGGATGAAGCGATCGGACATCTGACGTTGCTAAAGGTGGTAGCGGCTGGGCCCGGGGGGGGGCTAAGGGGGGAAATACACACACGCACACACACAGACGCGCATACACACCGCTCTACGGTGGAACCTGCGGGTTGCTCTGCCCGCTTGTCTGTTCGCACTGTCTGCCTCGGGTGGGCTTTCTTATATGCCGTACGCCGGGAGTCCTTATATACCGCGAGGGATATAGCCTCTTGCTGCAGCTCCTCAGGGATGGCATGGGAAGCCTCATGCCCAATATACTCCATACATACATACATACACACTTTTGTCCTACTACTCCCCAGGTTCTACTGTCCCTCTCTCTTCCTCCGCAGCCGTTAGTGTCGTGAGTGTCGTACCTATCCTGAGTATTCCTGTGCCTGTGTGGCCTAATCAGCAGCACCAGCGCACCAGCAGCAGCGCGTAGTGAACACTTGAATCTTTTCCCCTGATGAGGAGGATGGTGGTGGGAAGGACGCGAGAGTGGCAGGACATGTAGCAACGAACCTTATCCTAAACACCTGAGCCTCACCCCACAGCGCAGGGTGTGCATTTTCTACGGCATGTGAAAACTTTCTATGTTTTATATGTGTATGATATCCTCCCCCACGAACACATCACCCCCTACGTCCGTTCCCACATTTGGCTCCTCCTTTGGACTCCAGAAGAAGCTGTTGCTTTGGTGGACGTCAGCTCTGGCCGGATGACCCTTTGCTCTTTTTTCTTGCATCACATGATTTGTCCCGCCCCCGCCCACCACCACCACTGCTACTTTTAACCCGCTCACCTAACATACACCAAACCACCTTTCACCGCTACCATGTTCACTTCACACCCCCGGCAAATCTGCGCAGGAGCTGGATGTTTCCGGAAATGAGATCACGACTCTGCCGGACTCCTTGGCTACCCTGCCCAAGCTGGAGGTGGGAACAGACTGGCCCCGGAAGGGGATCGGGGAAGCGGGGGAGGGGGGAGAGAGAATGGGAGAGGTGAGGGGGAAGGGAGATGGGTGAGGTGACGTGAGGTAAGGTGAGGCGAAGGGTGAGGCGAAGGGTGAGGTAAGGTGAGGCGAAGGGTGAGGCGAAGGGTGAGGTAAGGTGAGGCGAAGGATGAGGGAGGGAGAAGGGGGAAGGGGGGAAAAGGGGAGGGAGGGAGGGCAATGCCTCGCCCGCGGGGCTATAGAACAAGAGACGGAGGAAGCAGTGCACCGCAGGACCATCGGCCGCTAGGGGGAAGACCCTCTCTTCTGCAACTGAACCCGCCAACTGGGGCCCCACTGACACCCAACTGAACCGCAACTGCACTGCTTTCCCGCCTCCCCGGCCCCCCAAGGTCATCCAAGTGGAGAACAACCGCTTGGAGCTGCTTCCCGACAACCTAGGTGAGCTGGCGGCCGTTATCAAGATGGACCTGTCCACCAACAACCTGCGCTACCTGCCCAACAGTTTGGGGCAGCTCAAGAAGGTTCAGCGAATAGACGTGGGGAACAACTTGCTAACAAAGGTGCGAGAGGAAGGGTGGTGCGAGAGAAAGGGTGGTGCGAGAGGAAGGGTGGTGCGAGAGGAAGGGTGGTGCGAGAGGAAGGGTGGTGCGAGAGGAAGGGTGGTGCGAGAGAAAGGGTGGTGCGAGAGAAAGGGTGGTGCGAGAGAAAGGGTGTGCGGGGAAGGGTGTGCGGAAGGGAAATGCAACGGAGTGCCGCGAGGGTTGAGGTTGATGAGGTGGCGCTAGGCGGGTGGCCGGCGAGTGTGCGGGGGGTTATGGTTGAGGGGTAAACCCTTCCCCCCAAAGCGGAAAGCTTTTGAAGAATTGAGAGATGATGGCTGGTGTGCGGCTGGGCGAGGGGGAAATACAGTTTGGATAGAAGATGAGGTGGTCAAGGTTTTAACCAGAGAGCTTAAAAAGGAAATGAATTCGGTTACGGTAGCTTCGAACAGTTGTAATGACCGTTGGGTGGGCAGTTGGGGCGGTTGTGGGAAGGAGTCCACAGCGGAAAAAGGGACGTCGGCCATTGTTGAGCCTTTGCTTCTTGCATGTGATGTTTCCTTCGCCTCGGTCCCCCTTTTTTGGGATGCCGGCAGTTGATACTTATACTGTGCATTATATATGTTTGCATTGTGTATACTTCGAACTCCCCCAGGTTCCCCCCAGCATGGGGCACCTGAAGACGCTCAAGGAGTTCAACCTGCGGTACAACAACCTGGACGACCGATACAAGGCCAAAGTGGAGGAGGGCCTGTCTAAGTGGGTACGGGGGGAACTACCTAACGATTGGCTGAAATGGCCCACGACTGCTGTGCTAATGCTGCTACTGCTAATGCAGACGATGGGGAGGACGCTGGGGTTGTTGCTCCTGTTGGTCTAGATTCTGCTGCTGCTGCTCTGCTGGTGCTGCTGCCGCTGCTTCTGTTGCTTCTGTTGGCTTATGCTGATCAACCCTCCTTTCGCTCATAGTCTTTCTTCAGTACTGAAAATCCTCGCTCTGAATGCTCTTTGCACCGGGAACAAAGTCTGAGAAATCTGCTACTGCTGCTACGACTAAAGCTTCTGCTTCTCATGTTGATGGTATCGTTTATTGTTTATTATATATATATATAACACCTGATTATTATTATTATTATCATCCTTATTATTATTATTATTATTATTATATTGTTGTTGTTGTTGTTTGTCCTTTTTTGTTTGTTGTCAGGTTCCTAGCTTTCCTTCGTGAGGAGGAGGAACGCGAGCGACTGGAGGAGATCGAGCGGCTGAAGCCCATTGGGACCCCCGTGGGCTCCTACCTGGAGTACCGCTGCAAGGCGGAGGTGGGCCGGGGGGAGGAGAGAGGGGGGGAAGGAGAGAGGGGGGCAGGGAAAGGGGTGAGATAGGGGAAACCGCAGTCAGTGCCATTGACAGGGGAGGCCAACCCCCAGTACCCGCCATTACCACACCCTGTCAGGGGCCCCAGTACCCGAGACACACACACACACACACACACACACGCCACCTAACGTACGTGTCCCAGGTGGGTCAGCTGGTCAAGACTGAGATGGGCGACACCACCGTGGACAACAGGTGCTGGATACGCACCGGACACACACTGACACAGGCGCGTATGTATGTATGTATGGAGGGAGGGATGTATGGATGGGGGGATGGAGGGCTGGAGGTATCTGTGTGTGTGTGTGTGTGTCTGCGTGTTGTTGTACGTTGGTGTGGTTATTCCGCTGTTGTATCGGTGTTGATGTTGCGGAATTCGTTGTTACTGTTGTTATTGTTCTTCATCTTCTTGTACGACTGCCGTACAGGTGGGCAGCATGTTGCTCATCTTCGGCGGTCAGCTCCAGAAGGACGGCTCCACAACCAACGACCTGTTCTGGATGACTATGGACCGAATGGAGTGGCACAACCAGCCGTGCAAGGGGGAGAAGCCCACGGCGAGGTGGGTGGGGTAGTGGCAGTCGGAAGGGGGGCGGGAGGCGGGGTGACAGGTCCGCTAGCTCTGAGTTCGATTGGAATTCCTCCGCTATTCGCAACTCATCCGCCATAAGCACATAACGGTGCTTGTAAGGAACACACACGCACACACACACACACACACACGCACACACAGACACACACACGCACACACAGACACACACACACACGCACACACACACACACACACACACGCACACACACACACACACAGACATGCACACACACACACACGCACACACACACACACACAGACACACGCACATGCACACACACGCACACACACGCACACGAGGTCAGGTTGCGCATATCCAACACCACACCTTAAAACCGCAAAACTTCTCGCGGCTCATTCCATTTAAAGACATGGCCCATTTAAACACAATGACTCAAGTAACAATACCGCCACACAGTCAGACATACTGACATACTGACATACAGACCCTATAATGTCCTCCGGTCGGATACGTTAAGCACAGACGCACACACATACGTACAGACATACAGACATGCACATACACACCACATCCTCGCGTCCCAGCTGCTATACGACTTATTATCATCATCATCATCACTGTCCTCCTCCTTCTTCTTCTTCTTCTTCTTCTTCAGGTACAACCATGCCGCCTGTTACGATGAGGAGAACAATCGGTTGGTCATCTTTGGCGGTCGTACCGCGGAGCGGAAGCGGCTCAACGACGTCGCCTTCCTGGACCTGGACTCCTGGACCTGGTACAAGCCGTCCACGGAGGGTGCGGCGCCGTCGCCGCGGGAGCAGGCGGTAGCCACCTTCTGGGCCGGGAATATGGTGCTGTTCGGTAGGTGGCGCGTCAGTGTGGCCACTGCTTAGGGGGTCATTATTTATTGCCTTGCGTGTGGGCCGTCTGTTTGTTTCCATGCGCCGCCTGTTGTGTTGTTAACACACACACACACACACACACACACACACACACGCACACGCACACGCACACCAGTGCAGCACACGGCCGGTAGCTCTACTCTTCACGAGTCTGGAGCCCACTTTAACAACCATAACACACACACGACGGCTTCATGTATACTTACATACATATAATATACATATGACCCCTTTCATCCCCCCCCACACATACATATGACCCCTTTCATCCCCCCCACACACATACACATACCGCGCTACGGAGCATGCTTGGGTGAAGTTAATTGCGAACCAACCTCTCGCCACTTCCCCCCTAGCGGCGGCTCCGAAGATCCTTAAAAAACATATATATACATACATACATACATACATACATACATACATACATACATACATACATACATACATACATACATACATACATACATACATACATACATACATACATACATACATACATACATACATACGGGGGCTATCTCCCCTGGACTAGCCCAGGGA